TTTTTTTTGTGCTTTGACTTTTACCAAGCTTTATTTTCTTCTTACTATTCTTGTCTTAGGTGGTCAACCAAAGGCGAGAGGCGATCCACACAAGATGATTTCGTCAACGATCAGTCGATATGCATGCCGAATCATTATTGATCGTGAAAATTATGATAAAGCATTCCTATATGCTGCTGGATTTGATTCTGTAAAGAATATTTTCCTTGGGGTAAGCACTAATATCCATGGCAACTGCAGTATATCTATATTATTTTGCTTTTTCTAGGAAAAAGCAACGAAATGGATGAAGAGAAACGGGGAAATGGACGGGTTAACGACAAACGGGATATTGATTTTGCATCCGAATAGAAACACGGAGGTTTGGCCTTTTTAAATTTCTTTGATTTTGAATCTTTTGAACTTTTAAAGTGATCAATTGTATGAAGCAGTGGATTATCATAATTTACTTAGACTCCCTTTCTTGATAGTCCCAAAAATCGTTGTCCTCTTATTGATAGCACACTTTCACAGGAGTTGTCTGATGAAGACGTTCCTCCTATGTATGTATGGCGTGAGGTCTCCGTTGATGGAGATATCTACACATTGCGCGAAACGCGAAGTAGCAGTGCTAGAGGTGCACTTGTACCGGAAGAAACGAATATGCTCCAAGTTAGTAGATTATTCATTTCATCTGAATATGTTTTTGACTTCGAAGCTTTCAAGGATGGCACTTTGATTGATTTATGCGGAGCGACGTTGCTGTGGAGAACGGCAGACGGATTACGTAAATCGCCAACTGCTCAGGAATTAGAAATGGCACTAGACAGACTGAATGCCGGGAAACCTCAGTGTCCAGTGAATCTAAACACCTTGATTATTCCAAAAAAGAAAAGCTCAAAGGGTGGAGGTAGCCGGCAACCTTATGTGAGTCATTGCCCCTGCCTGCAAATAGCAAGGACAGATTTAGCAAAATGTTTTTTTTTTGTATAGGTCTATCTTCGCTGTGGACATGTACAGGGCAAACATGAGTGGGGACATCATGCGCTCTCGAATGGTCAACAGTCCTATAAGTGTCCTATCTGTTTGGCGGAAAGCGAAAGAGTCATACAGGTGAGCAATCGAATGTTTGCACACGCGCTTGATATACAAAGCGTCAGCATCTGTTTACCAATTTTCTGAACAGAAACTTAGGTTTGGATTCGGGGTTGGATGTTGGGTTCAATTCAGTTTGGGTCAATATTGACTGTATAGTTATACCGTATTTTTGTAGCTGACGATGGGCATGGAATCTTCATTTCACTTGGATTCTGGCAGTCTGGATTATGCATTCAATCCTTGCGGTCACGTGGCCAGTCTAAATACAGTGAGGTAAGTGCATTCACTATGACAAATTGTTTTTCTTTTTCAAAAGAAACAGTGCAGCGTTGTCGAACTCTTTCCACATCAATAGTTTTGCAAAATCTGGTATATTAGGTTGTCCCGAAAGTAATGTCGCTCCATATTTATAAATTTGTAACTTAGCGTTTTGTCTGCGGATTTGCTTCTCTCTAATTTTATTAGAAAG